GTGTATGTATGTATGTATGCATGCATGCATGCATGCATGCTTGAAAAGCATTTCCCCCCCATATATATATATTATTAACTTCATTATACCATAGAATCCAGGACTGCCAAAAATTGCCATTTGTTTTGGAAAACTCTGTTTTGGGAAGAGTGCATTGCTTTTCAAGGATATGGAGCACTCTTCCCAAAACAGAGTCTTCCAAAACAAGTAGCAATTTTTGCCAGTCCTTGATTTTATGGTATAATGAACTTAAGCTTAGTATTTACATTCATTCATGCATACATAATGCTGCACTAAGAGCTTTAAATAATATTTTAATTTGTTTTAGATTACCCAAGATGCTAGCCTATAGCCAGTCTGTTTATTTATCATTCCAATGCAAGAGCAAACCAACCATATTAAGGCCCAATATCACAATGTGAACCAAGCCAAATAACACATGGAAAAATAAGTTCATACCTGCAATGCCACCAGCCATCCACGCTGCAAAGGGAGTGGGAGAAAGACATTCTTCTGCAGTGAGCCAGGCAGAAACCAATGCGTAAGGGATAAAGTAGACGCAGTATCCTGGGACATCCCTCAGAAGCATGGCAGTCGTACCTCGAAAGAGGCCTGGCAAACCTTCCTGCTGGAGAATGTTAGCGATACAGTGAATTGGACCTCGGTAGGCAGCCTGTACTGAAATGCCAGTTGCTTTGTGCTTCATTTCCAGGGTGGCTAGAGAAGAAGTAAAAGGAGATTTCAGGATCAGATGCAAATAATTCCTCAGAGTTTTGCTATGTATATTGGCTTAGGGGGCAGGGGGTGGATTTGTTTTGAATTCTTTTTACCTATTGCTTTTCCCCCCTGCCTAACACTCATGGAGGCAGTGGGAGTTTTAAATCACCACTTTATAAAAACTGAAAGCTGGTTTGCTTATTTATTTACTTTACTTACTTGTTTATGTAGCCACTTATCTCATATTATTTTTCTAAGCAACTCACAACAATCCATATAAACAAGGATGAAAACTTAAGTACCCGTCTTCCCAGGACCAGACCAACCTGGCTTCCAGCTCAACTCCCATCCTAGCGTCCTTGGGATGAGGGGAGAAGGGGGGGGGGAGATGCCAGCAGTGGTGGGTTCTGGATCCTATTCCAACTGGTACGGTTGGAACGGGCCCGGCGTCACCCACATGGACGTGCGTGGCGCACGCATGCATCGTAGCTTCCTGCAACGCCTCCGCAAGCCTCCACGATGCCCCAACTGCTTAGCGGAGTATTGCACAGGTGCCTTACGTGCTGTGCGTGGAAGTGCCAAAGGCTTAAAGGACAGGTAAGGAGCTCAGGTGGGCGGGCCGTT